ATAATATATATAATATGAATACTGCATTCACTCATTTAGAAAATTATATTTTGAATGATAATATAACTTTTAATTCTGAAGACTAACATATATGATGTTTAGCCTATATTATTAATTTAACTATTCAAAACAGTGTTTAGAAATAACCTAGTCATTTGACCATTTAAAGAATTTGCTTAATATTTTATCATAAATCTAAATCATTTGACATTTAACATTTTGTAACTGACCTAAATTCTAAATTACAAATGACTATATATCATTTGACTGTTATTTGAATCCTTTGTCATTTAATCATTTGGAAGGTTTACTAGGAAAATGGGCTTGAGAAATTATTCTAAAATCAGCCTATTTGATGCTGATATTACATACTGATTGAGAATAAATATATGCTCATCCAAAATGTTTGAAGGTCACGAGTATGAAGCATAAGACAAAATGCTTTACATTCTACTATAGTCTATTATGGATCGATGATTTTAACTATAGCATAATACTTTACATTTTACTTGTACGCAAAAATGAATGAATCTCCTGAAAAAAAAAAAATTTATGCACGTAGTATCGACATATTAAAACAAGTAGAAATCATTGGATAATTAATAATATAAAAATGCTGGTGTACTGTTAATGTTGATGAAACAAAAAAAAATTAAAAAAGTAATAGATAAATAAGGATTTAATATGATCTAGTTTTATACATAATAACGATAAAGATAGAATAAAATTTGGAATCAATTTCCTAAATAAAAATCATCTTATTTTACAAATTTAGGCTCATATAAACTCATCGAAAAACCCGAAACTTATATCATATAAGTAGGAATATATTTGTCACCCATATATGGGCATGGAATAAAGTCCCAATCCCATCCCATTCCTTAAACCAAACTTTTCAAACAATATCGTCATAATTAATGATCATAATTTAATGATATTTAATTCATTAGCTTCGTCTTAATGAGAAAATTCAAATGAGATATTGATTTAAAATATATTATAAATTAAATGGAATTTGCGATGCGATTCTATAGTGTTAGGTATGGGCAGCATCTATAAGTGGAAACCAATTTATTGGTTTTCCAGCTAAAAAATAATTAAAAAGGTATGTATACATGCAAAAAAAAAAAAATCTAATGATTAGTATTTCGAAATTATGTTTATTTTAATTATTAATAAATAAATTAATTCAAATATATTTTTTTTGGACTTTATTGAATGGTCTATTTTTCATGATTTTTGACGCGAGAAGTTATTGCAAATTCACTTAAATAAAAATATGCTTGTTTAAATTGGACATTCTATATACGAACATAATTGATAAAATGAGTTACAAATTGCTAATCATTAAATCAATTGTACTCTTGAAGATAAACTACATCCTACAATATATTTCTTATTTAATCGGTGTATTCTCAATTTTACATAACATTCGACTCCACATATTATTTATGCTCAAATTATTCTAAACTATTGTCTTGTTCATGTTCTTTCCCAAAAAAGAAGAGAAGTGTAAAAATGCATCAACAATAATCTTAATAAAATTCTGCAAATTTTCATATGCTGGCGAATATCAATTATCATAGATTTAGAAAATAGAGGATCATCAACAAAAAACTATCTAATTGGAAATATGACTACAATACAATATGAGAAATATTATTTATTATACGATACGATTATATATTTTAATTTAATAATACAAAGAAATACATTATATAAAAGTAATTGATTTAAAGAAAGTTGTGAATTTCCATAGCGGTGTGCATGCCTGAAAAAATTATAACGTTTCCGAAAGAAGAAATAGCCGTTCAAATCGGACAGCTTATTAAATTCTTTTCATATTTTTACAGAGGAAGACGACACCTCGGAGCAATAAATATTTCGATCAGTAGATGATCATCAATGATCGGTCTTGTGATTACTAAATTAGGAATGTTCCTATGCCGATCGTCATTTCTGGTCAGAAATACAGTATATAATGTCGTCGAATTTTTGACTTTTATTCTCACAAATGATGTTCTGAAAGCACGAACCATATTCTGATTACTACTTAAAATTCTATAGCTTGCAATCTTTAGTAAAAATTTATTCAATATTTAACTTATTAGCTCTTGTCTCCTTTTTACAAAAAGTCGTAACGCGGTTTTCTCAATCTTAATCGATATATCATAATTCATCCTTAAAGCAATTTTATATTGGAAAGAGCTTGATAATGGTTAGGCCGCCATTTTTAAGAGAAACGGAGGAAATTTTACGATTTAAAAAGAAATGTGCGTTTTTTTATTTTATTTTGTAAATAGGTAACTCGTGTAATGTGCCTTGGCTCAGGAGAATTACTGGGGTTGACAGCTTGGTATCATCCAAGTCCTGAATTCAGGCGCACTAATTTTGTTGTTGATAGAGGTCTGCTGGTTCTGAAGGATCATCTGGCTATGTACCTTCTTTTATCACTAAATAAAAAAGATGATGCACTGCAACGAAAATCGTCTGCAATCCTTCTGGGAAGGACTATTTCGAGGTAGGGATATTATTGTAAATTAAGGTTAATTTTTATATAATACTAAATAAATTGTTTTATTTATTTATAAAATATTACAAAATTAAAGATGGATCTACCCGGTTTTCATCTCTTTTATGGAACGTACCGGTTCATAGTCAGTCCTTGGACCTGTCCTAATATTTTACTGTAACGATAAGGATATTAAAGAAGGCACAGCAATCGTTTCGTACGCAATTATATACTTTTTTATTTATCAAATTTATACAATTATTTTATTAAGGATCATTTTATATGTATATATATCAGGTGAATATTTTTTAATATATTCTGGACCAGTCTTATATATCATATCGGTCTGGATCGAGAAGAAAGCAAATCTAGGACCGGACCGGACTGGTAGGACCGAATGGTAGAAGACCGGTCTTAGGACCGGTCCTTGGACTGACTTATGGACCGGTCCGGTCTAAAGAAAGATGAAAACCCGATCTTTTTGGACCGGACCGGACCGAACCAACCCTAATTTCAGGACTATAAAAAGTAAGTGAAGAATATTGCAATGATTGTGTAAATTAATTCATTAACTAAATTTTTTACAATAGATTTCTGTGAAAATCAAGCTAAAGGATTTCGCGTATCAAGATAATTCCGGAAGAGTTTAATCCCCAACACTCATATCTTTGTGAAATTTGCCAGGAGATATTCTCACAACTTTTAAAACCAAACACTATCTTAACATGCGGGAACATTTTCCACCGAAACTGTATTGAACACAAACAAATTTTTCCGACCTGTATTGTCCATTTTGTAAAGATCATTGACATTTATGATTATATTAATTACCTTAATGATAATGTTATAGTATAAAAGCTGCTCATGATAAAACTGTTATGGCAGCGGTTCTGATAATGATGCTGGTTCTAGCTCTGGCTCTAGTGTTGGTACTGGCCATCATTCTCCCTGTCATTCTTCTTCCTCGTAATGGTTATGTTCGTGATAACATGGTGATGTACAGGATTTATTTGCTTTTAGGGCAAAATTTTAAATGGAACAAATAATCATCACGAAAATAATGATGATCATGATCATGAACCCAATAATTATTATGAAGATATGAACAATGAAAGGTGTAGAACCGGCTAAAAATCTTTAACCGGTTAATAAACGGTTAAAGGTAGCTTAGGCAGAGTTAGCAAATATTTTTGAAAATCATATTGGCCGTAATTGAATTTCTGCTGGAGTTAAAATAACTATTTTAATCGGTTCGGTTCCAACGTGTAAGTAATTTTATAGCCTGATTTAGTTATCATACTTATCAACACAATTTTAACTAGATTTTCTTTATAGGAATCGAGCGCTCAGTTACAAGGGACCAAACGTTTCTCTAAACAACTGAAGAGCACACAAGTCAACACCTAATATTGCTTCTCGGTTGTCTAAGGAAATTTCAGACATTGAGTTAGTCAATATTATCAGACGTATGGAAGAATATGTTCGATTCTTAGAAATTCCTAATTTTTCAGATCTTACTTTCTCCGCAGGAAGTACAAATCGATAAATATTTTTAGATGCGGTTGATCGTTTTTTCCAACTAGTTGCTCAGGCGAAACTATTTTTCAACATCCGAAACGTTTCGCCCAGAGAATTTTTCTCTGATCAGAAACTATCCCGAAATTCTAAATTTGGAAAGATTTTTGCAGATCAATTTGACAAAACTAATTCGCCCGAAACACTATTTCCAACCCTGTCACCTATTGTGGATAGTGTAGTGCTACTGCGACCATCACATCCTTGGATCGTCAACTAATGTCTGGAAAATGATCATTTTCGTTGCCGATGCGTTTAATAGCGTCATTTTTGTATAACTATGAGTATCGTGAAAATTTTAAGCTCGCGCTGGCATTCAACCGGAAACTGGACGAAGAACAAAGCCTGAATTTTATAATTCAGAAAATGGAAAGGGATAATCTAAATGCCCGGAAAAGGGCGAGAAATACCAAATGCATCAGTTTGCAAGCTGTCTTCGATATCTTTTACAGTACATTGATCAAAAAGTGTTATCGCGGCCAGATATAACTGTGTCACATCTCGGTAGCACAAGTAATGACATACTGAAAGCATTTATCACCGAAATTTTTAGCGCGAGGGCAGCAGAACGTATGATTAAATGGTTACATCTTATCAGTAATGGAAGCATTCCAGATGTCCTTTTACAAGGGATAAAATATTATCGGGAGGATGATGAAATAGATGGCATTGAACATATAGATCCAGATTAGCTTAATATGAAGTATTTGATTATATATACTGTAATTATTAATAAAGAATGTATAATGAAAAATTAAACTTTCTTATGAAAAAAAGGTGGTGTGTACGTGGTTGTGAATCTTCCCGAAAAAATTTTTTTCGGGAAGATTCCACAACCCCGTACACACCTTCAAATAAATTATCAAATATATTGATTCTTAAGTTTATAAATACTTTATAATATATTTTTTTAAAATTTATGCACTTATCTATTAAAGAAATTTGTACACAATATTTAAGAAATAATTTACCGCTGAAATTAGTCGGCTAATAATATAACCGACCGGTTAACCAAAATTTAACTTACGATTTTCTGACGGAGATCCCAAGTAACTTTGTTTTATATAATATTCATTCATGTCGTCCCTTATTACGACGCCATCGTAGTGAAGTATAGCAATTTGTATATTTATCTAAAAGACACTTTCCGTTTCTTAATTAAGCCGAATATTTTCAGCACAATATGGACATTAGGTATAAGTTTTTTTTTTGACGTGCTTCAGCACAACGCAAAAATAACGCTAAAATATTAACAAATATTCCGAAAGACATTCTCTTCGTTATTTTGCAATTTTTCTCGCATCCTACGAGTAAGAAGTTTATTCCTTGCATAGTATGGGCACTATGAATTTTTATTTTTTATAATTAAAATTAGCAAATAAGATTTATGTTTCTTTCTACGGGATTTTAATACATAGCTCCGACTTTTAAGATTTATTTTCGTTTCAAAGTTTGTAATATCTGCAATATTGAGTAAAGTTAAAAGAGATAATCTTTTTGAAAAGAAAAAATATTTTATTGAAGAAAAAAAATTAGCATTAGTGTGAAACTGCGTATTAAAGTAGTCACAAATTTTGGGACGGATAACAATCTTGCCTCTTTCGAACTAAGTGTTTCTGATCGTTGTACTATTCGTTTAAATTGAAAAAAAAAATCAGTCGTCTAAAGGTGTTTAAAATTGTAATTGTCTACATGACTCTGAATATTTTTGACACTTTCGTAAATTCTTTTTTTTTTTCATTGGTACATTATTTATAAAATTCATTCATGATATAATATTTAGATAATTTCTAAGACATAAAGCCACCACAATTAAATATTTGTTTGATGTTTATTACTTTCAAGTTTTTCAATAAAGAGATTAATTTATGCAACAGAAATCGTAATTCATTATTAAAACGACCTGTTTATTTAACATAAAGAAGTGTACTTCAAGAAATTCTTTAACGTATATTTCTTAAAAGTTTAATTACAACTTTTTTTTTCATCACTTTAAAAATAAGTAAGGTTTAACTACTGCAAAATTTAACTTATTCCAATCTCCAATTTGACTTTGAGGACATTTTCCATGATTCATGAGTATTTCAACTTTATCGAATTTCAAATGATCAAGTTACTGAATATAGTGCTTACGATTACACTTTTTTCTCGGAAGAGGAGGAATATACTTTCTAACATTGTGCATTCTGTCATTTATCGTTTTAAAACAACAGATATTTATTTCTTAAATCATCAAGACTCTTGAAATTCACACAAGCATTGGAGTTATGCTACTCCTACTTGCCAGCGGAAGAAAATGGAAAAGGACTATATGGTGAAAAGAACTTAAGAATTTTATATCGACAAAAATGTACCTAACATTAATATTAGTATGGGGCGCAATAAATTAACGAATTAGCTATTGTTGGTATCGAATCACAAGGTAAAAGAAGGAGTATTCGGAATTATTTATGGTTAGACAATGCAACTGTATTTTAGTTCACTTTAAAATTGAAATATTATATCAGGCGCCGCCGTTAAACTTATGCTGCGGCAGACCATATATTTATTTATAACAATGTTGGTTTTTCCGGAATTTGAAGATCGTCTCTTTTTCGGTTGTGGCTTTCTTTTAAATTCTAATAATTAAAAAAAAAACCAAAAAGAATATTTAATTGTCAACCAATTTCCTCATTCTAAGTTAAGCCAAATATACTTAACATAAAATTTATTATTTCTAGGTTCTTAAAGCTCTTATTTTTTTATTTTTTAAAGAAAAAAATAGTATATATTTATTTATATATAAAGTATTTACAAATAATCATATATGGAGGAAAGAATTCGAGAAAATGTCGAAAGTGAGACATATGAACGTTATGTTCACTTACCATTCGATACTGACGAACTTGGACCGTGGGAAATTCTGCTCAGTGAAAACACGATCAAAGACTTACGGGAAATGCTGTATAATGAAGACTTCAAAGATATGCAAGTAGAGTTACCTCTCACTATTGAAACTATCATGAAAAACTCGGCCAGATATCATCCGGAAAGTGGAAAAAGTATGGTTTCCAACGTAAATCATCATTTATCGATATTCCGGTCTACGAAGTAGAGCTCCCTGACAACAATTTGAAAATTCTCTGGCAAGTTGATTATGGATTATCTATCCGTAAAGGTTCATTCATGCAACATGTAAAGGTATGGGCCATCACTGCAAATCAAGAACAGATTTACATGACATTAAAAACCCTTAAAAAAGTTTACAAGATTTACACTTCCGAACATATTGATCGTTGCGCAATTCAAGACCAAGATTATATCATTTTACCGGAATATTTTGAAAATGATGAGGTTGAGGTAACAAAGTTCACCAACGAAGTGTTGGACAACGAGTGGCTATTAGAAGTTCATAAAATGTTTGTTACAAATAAATTTATTCCTATATCAAAGGTAAAGTATGCTATCCGTTATATCGTATTAATTATTTGACGAATAAATTCTTAAAGTTAATAATTTCTCTCAGGATTTATTCAAGTCGCTCATTTTGAGTGGCTCTGATTTCACTTTTCGAGTATCTAAGACTGAGTACGATATAATTAAGCATCCTAAGTCGACTGTCGTTTTTGGACGATCGGGTTAGTAATCTAGCTTCGACCATTATTTACTTGCGGACTTTGTTGATTTTGTTCTAAATGTCAAATATTTAGGGACCGGCAAGACTACATGTATCATACTTAGACAGCTCATTTCATATCTGGAAAGCCAACTTTACAAGACACCATCTTCGCATGGCATTGACGAGTATTTTTACAAAAGACAAATATTTATTACATTAAACCCCATTCTATGCATGCGAATAAAGAAATACTTCAACCAATTGCAAAAATCAGCGGAACTTGCTGGAGAAAAAATTACGAAAGCTCAATTCATTGAATGGAAAAAGGAATACGGAAGTAATAAAGCGCTTGATAACAATAACATGCATGAAGAAGGCGATGAGGTTAAAACCCTGGGTGAAATTCCAAACTCGTTCCGTCTGCTGACGGACCATCATTTCCCATTATTTATTACTCACGAAAAGTTTTTTGAAATGCTTCGGGGGACCTACGGCATTGACACTCGAAAGCTGACCACAAGACAACAACAAGAACACGATGAAGATAATGATAATAATGGTGAGGAGGAGGTGACTCACTATAGGTCTCCCTTTACAAACGTGTCAAAAGCTTCGTGGGCTACCTTTGTTGATTATGATCTCAATAAATCACAGTTCTGCTTCCCACACTATATTATTATTTATTCACTCTATTATTGGCCTCGAAGGAACATAAAGAGAGTTTTTAAAAACTTTATAGGCGAAAACGATGTTTCTTTTTCTTTTAATAATAACTTTTTACATAATTTTTCATTTATTGACTATAAACGGACTTTTCGATACCGCTACGCCACTTAAACGATAATGAAGGACTTTTTGCGTCAAGAATTTTTCAAATTATTGAAAAAAGGTACTTATTGCGCTCAATGTTATTTGATATCAAATAATTAAGTTTTAATGATACTTTGTATATTTGTGAGTGATGAAAGAGTCCATGGAATAGTTCTGTTATGCAGACGTGGAATGCGGATTTTTGAGTAATTGCTCACGCGTTGGCCCTTTTTTTATTTTTAGATATTATCATCTATCAACAACATTAATTGGTCTACTACCTCAAGCAACGAACAAAGCTCAAATCCAAATTTCACTTTGAAATTGTTATATATCAAAATAAATTTTCGTAAAATTGTGAAATTTAATTTTTATTGATTTACAATTGTTATAACTTTGTTATTGTCAAACGCCATTCGCGAAAATAAATTTTGTATCAGTATTTCTTATTCAAAATGCAACACCAAATAACAAAAAAGCATTATCTTCACTTTTTCTTATTTTATACTTTTTTTTATAAACTGTAATCAAGTTTATCACAATAATATCAAATTCTAAAACTTTTGATTTATAACTTACAAAATTTTCACACTTTCAATATCAAATTTTTTTCTTTAAATACATTTTTAAAATCATTTTCAACACATTCGTCTTCCATCATTTTTAACTTCGCATTTAACATTTTTAGCAAATCATTTCAACAAAGATAAATTTAAAATGAAAGGTACAATTGATCATTTTTCTTCATAAACATCATTTTTATATCGATTTTCAGGATAATATTGAACATGTGTTACACAACACACTTTAATTATGTAATGTACAGAACAAAAACAATTACCGACTAATTTTTTTTTTCATGTTCTCCAATTTTAATTAAATCTTTTATCCGAAATATCGACTATTTATTCATTATAAAAATAAATATAATTTTTTTTTCCGCACAATATTCTGATTATTGTCACGTGTAATACGTTGAATTGAAGCAAAGTGTGTACAGTTAAAAAAATATTCTAAACTAATATTAATTGAATACATTATTTGCAAATGCTTGCAATATTTTATCGATTGTAAAATTCTAGGTTGATCAAAGTTAAAAAGCATTTGATTCCCTATGAAAAAAAAATTCTGGAATTTGTCCAGAATTTGATGTAGTGTCCAAATAATGTCCGGATACTACCATGTTTCGGTATAAATTCCGGACAACATCAAGACATTACGTGATGTCCGAAATCCATCATGTTTTGGTACGCTTTCCGGATGATTTTGACATTTTCCGGACAT